GAGACTGGCTGAAGACCAGGAGTGGGAGATGGAGGGTGTGTGTGGGGCCAAGGAAGGGAGAGGTCACAGAAGGAAAGGCCCATGCAATCCCATTGCCATTGGGTTTCAATCATCACCTTCCCAGTTTTGCGTGCCTAGGCTGCAGAGCTTGGATTCGCAGACAGGCACCACCAAACACGTCTTTAATAAAGGTCAGTGGGACGCCACCCTCCGAGGCGACACTGCCCAACCTACTTTTTGTTTAAGAAGTGATTTCTAATTTTACACAGGCCTATGATGGATGACATCTTTCTGGTGGTTTACGGGAAGCAGTGGTTTGAGATGCCCCAGGGCATCTCCTCTGCCCGCCTTGCAGTGTAGTAGGAACTATAGGAGGAGTTTGCCCCAGACACCCAACATTGGCCCACAGACGGCCTCTGCTCGCACATGCGCGCACCGTGGCTCTGGAGCCGTTAGGATGTGCCTTCTCCTCCCTGAGCCTTTATTGCTATGGTTACTCTCTTTGTGTCCCCTGGAGGCTACTGTCTGAGGTATTCCTGCTGCATTGAGGTGGGCAGAGGTCGCTTTCGTTCCTGTATCTTCCACCTGTAAGGGACTCCTGGGGACCATAACCCCGCCTCAGCGACGTCGCGGATGGATGCACTCTACGGAGATCTCTTTTGGCAGTTGGATTATGATAAGGATGGGACCTTGGACATCCTTGAGTTTCAGGAGGGTCTGATGGATCTAGGGGTCACTCAGTCCCTGGAAGAAGAGCAGGTGGGTCTCCTTTGGGGCTGGGAGCCCTGGAAAAGCCTTGGGAAGAGAGAACTGAAGCCAAAATGTACAGGGCTCTCAGCTTGGCTTCAGCGAGTGGGATTTGTTCAGTCTTGCTATTTATTAAGAACCAAAGACAGCTAACACTTTCCTCAAGCATTTTTTCCTCAAAATTTCCCCCCTAGAAACAGTTTTCTAGTTTGGATTGCTCTGAAAATGTTGGCTACAACTGTTTTCTTTTGGGGATTACCTATTGCAATGTGCTCACTTGTTGCTTGTAGCCCAGATGAGTATAAAACCCTTCCTATTGGCCGTGCAAACCTTGGGAGTCTTCATTTGAGATATATGTTCAGTCACCAACCAGTTGTATTTTAAACATATTGGATAGAACAACTACCACATCTTGGTTCCTCTGTGACTGCAGAAGCCCACATTGGATGTCATCTGTGAGACAATTCTGTCAAAATATTGTCTCCTGGAAGTTCACTTGAATTTTTTCCTTAATTCCTTAAAAAAAAGTGTTTCTTGCTCTTCTTGCCACAACTCTTGGATTTAGATTCCCAAGTATGACTTCTATTATTTGATGCACTAGCTTTTCATAAGAAATTCTGGATTTTTCCATGAACAGATTTAATCATCTGAGATATTTCTTGTTGTTTTCCATGAGCAATGTTGTGAACCACTGAGAGGCTTTGCTTGTCTGCGGGTGACTTTGAGGGCTCCCCTATCAAACCCAAAGTGGAGGCATCCCCAGAGGGTTGTTTGTCAAAGGAACCTTGTTGTGGCCACTCCTTTAGAGCCAGTCACATTTCCAGGAATTTCTAGGGACGGGTCTTTTCCCACATGTCTCCAGCTTCCCTAGTAGGAACTTTACTTACCTACGTTGAGAATTTAGTTGATTAGAGAAAAAAAATATTGTGTAACATGGTATTGATTTCATTTCCTTGTGAGGACTAGAAAGTCAGTTCCTTGAATGATACATTATTTTGTTTTGCTTTTTTCTGTGAGAGATGATAAACTGAATATGCAAACAGATCCACATAAATAAATGAAACAAACTCAACCACAACCTGCCCTGGAAGTCTGTCCCTTATCCACAACCAACAGTCTGGGAAACCAGGTTTCTGTCAGGTTGCAGGAAGTGGATGGCTATCTCTCACCACAACTCAGAAGGCCAGTGATGACTTCTATAATAATCAGTCCTATATGGCCATGATTTGGTTAAAAAGTGGCAGCTTTCCTACTTTAAACACTTTTTTTCCCCTTAGGGAGAGAGAGAGTGAATGTCAGGGGCTAGACTGGGGCTAACAAGCAGCTGGGAATGCAGTCAAGGTTGCCCGTGAGAGCAAACTAAGTATTTGAGCCATCACTGCAACCTCCCACAGTCCTCAATGGCAGGGAGCTGGAATTAGGAGCTGTAGCTGGGCATCAGACCTACCCACTTCCAAGTGGCTAAGCTAAAACGGCCTGTATTTTGGTCAAGTGTATTCATCTGAACCATCTGTACCACTTGCAGTTAAGTTTCTCCCTGCCTGCTGCTGCTTTCCAATTGCAGCACACAGCAACCCTTCTCCTTACCACAGTTGGAACCTGAATTGAGCTGCCTGCCTTTGAGTCTCAGCCAAAACACAAGTGACAGTGCCCAAGTCCTTTGCTAGTTTAATTCCAGACTTGACATATGTCCCTTGCTTTGTTTTCATATATTTCCACATATAGGGAACACACAAATTCAAAAGAAGAATATGGGTCCAAAAGCCAACCTGTTCAAAGATGTGATTCTAGATGTGCTTTAGCTTGTAATTCATAATTAATTTCCACTGGCTAAGGAATAAACTTCCTAGATAAAACTTCTGTTCATCAACTGGGCCCCAGAACCTTGGGTTTTTTGATTATATAAACCTAAATATATGTTTTGGTTGTTCAGGAAGTAATTTCCAGATGAAGATTATTCTTAATATGTAAAAAGAATTAAATAGCAGTGATTGTTTTTCAGAAACATAATAAACATGCATTTGCTTTAAAAGCTGTCAGTGTAATTGGTATATTTTCATCAAGTCTATTCATGTTGCAAATTAGAGAATCCTATTCAAATTAAGCCTACACAGAAAAGGTTAGAATTCTTTGTTAAGTACCCTTTATTAGACTGGAGAAAGAACTCTGTATCCCTAGTTTAGTGGACTTTTTTTTAATAGATGATGTTGAATTCAACAAATACTTATTAAGATGATTGTATGACTTTGATTCTGTGAATGTGGTAACAAAATTTCGATTTTACTTTCTTTGAGAGGGAGAAAGCTTCTATTTACTGGTTTGCTCCTCAAATTCTCACAAAACTAGAGTTGGTCTTGGGCTGAAGCTGAGAGCTGGGAAACGCAGTCAAGGTCTGTCAGCTGCGTAGAAGGAACCCAGTTACCTGAACCATCTCTATGGCTACCCAGGGGCTTCAGCTGGATGCTGGAGTCAGGAGCTGAAACAGGGAATTGAACCCAGCTGCATCAAGTATGCGATGTAGACATCTTAATCACTGAGCTAATAACCTGCTGCTTCCTCTATCTCATTTTTTTTCTGTCAGAAATACATTCATTTTATATACTATATGTGGGTATATATACACATGGAGTGTGTTATCTATTTTATGCAGCGTTAGATTGCTTTATTTAGGGGAGTATCTATTTAATAAGCCACATTGCTTTGTCAGTTTTCCTTCATTTGTGATGCTGCTGTAAGGTTTTGGAATCAAGGATCTAGGAAATCTTTACCATCTTTACAATACTTTGGGAAGTTTCTTTTCTTTTTTCTTTTTTTTTTTAAGAGTTTTGGAAAGCATTGGCTTAAGGCTACATGGATCTGGATTTTTCTTTATAGAGATGTTTCAATTAATTTTTGTTGGACTATTACTACGGTTTTCTATTTTCACGATTTTTTTAGATGTGTTCTCTTTTTCTAGGCACTTTTCTGTTTCATCTCAATTTCATACTTTGTTTTAGAGCTATTCATGATATCTTTAATGTTGTTAGTATCTGGTGATTTCTATCTTTATATTCTGACATCAGTTATTTGTATGCTTCGGGAGCTTTTCAGTTTATTTTGGTCTTTTCAAAGGGCCGTCTTTGGACATTGTTTATCCTCTCTGTGTTGTTTTCTTTGTCATTACCTTTTGCTCTCTTCTTTAAAAGATTTATTTGTTTCTATGTGAAAGGTGAATTTGTAGAGAGAAGGAGAGATGGAGATCTTCTGGTTCATTCTCCCAAGTAAATGCAAGAGCTGGAACTGAGGTGATCCAGAGCCAGAAGCTTGCTTTGGGTCTCCCAAGTGGTGCAGTGTCCCAAGGTTTTGGGCCGTCCTCTGCTGCTTTCCCAGGCAGAAGAAGAGAGCTGGATGGACACAAAGTGGTGCTCATGTAGGATCTTTGTGCTTGCAAGAGGAGGATTAGCCAATGGAGCCATTGCACTGGGCCACCCTTTGCTCTTTATGTCTTTCCTTCAGCTGTGTTTTTTTTGTTTTGTTTTGTTTTCTGACCTCTTCAAATTGAAATAAACATTAATGGTTGATAATAGATTTTTAGGTTTCTTAAAAACTATGAATATTACTTTAAATATATATTTATCTGTAGGTTAACAATTGTTTCTTGAGTTTAGAGCTAAGGGTCTAACCCTTATACCATCCTGCTATAGCATTACATTATTTACCCAGAAAAGACCATCAGAACATGGAAGCTATGGGTAAGTGATTGTGTTGTAATAGGTGGTGGTAGGAAAGGGTTATATGTAACAGTAAATTTTATAAAAACTTGTTTCTTTGTCTAAACAGCAATTTCTAGTCATAGAAGTTTATCATGACAGACTTTAATAAGAATGATTTTAAGGAAATGATTATTTTGGAAATCAAAGGAAAACTACTTTTTCAACCCTAATGTAAGTCAAATGTTTGTCTTCTGTCTTGGAGTTTATAAAGTACAGGTCAAGAAATTTAGCGTGTGATTACATTAGCCTTAAAAGAACTATGTTATATAGAAATTGCTGCATAATTGCTCTAATTGAAAATTTATCGCACAGCTGAGTGTCTTTTTGCTGTGGTATAATTCTTTCTGTTGCAGGTCATCACCATAATGAATAATGATGTGGTTGACTAAAAATGGTACTATAGTTTTACAGGAAAACAATCAATTTGTTTAAAATCTATATCCAAGCAATTTAATATGTAAGTACATAATAACAACAAAATCTCTAATTTTTTTCTTGTAGAAAATTTTTACTACTGGAGATGTCAACAAAGATGGGAAGCTGGATTTTGAAGAATTTATGAAGTACCTTAAAGACCATGAGAAAAAGATGAAACTGGCATTCAAGAGTTTGGACAAAAACAATGATGGTATGTCCCTCTTCTGTTTATCCCCAGCTGTGATAATTATTTCTTGGATTAGCACTTGGTTTGTTGTGTGTCACGTGATTTTAAATTTAGAATTCATATTTTTAGTGAAGGTGCTCATAGATAGCTTTGTCCATCAAATTTAAGAAAAGTGGGACATTATTATACTGACTTGATTTAAAGCTTTGGGTTAAAAATGGTCATCCTGGAGGCCAGTGTTGTGTTGTGGGGTGGCGTGGTGTGGTGTGGTGTGGTAAGTTGAGCCACTGCTTGCAGTGCTAGCATTCTGTGTTAGAGTGTTGGTTTAAGTCCAGCTGCTCTGCTTCCATTCCAGCTTACTGCTGATATACCTGGGAAAGCAATAGCAGATAGCCCAAGTATTTGGGCCCTTTCACGCATGCGAGAGATCAGGATCCTGGTTCTTGTCTTTTGGTCTGACTTGGACCTGGCCATTGTGTCCATTTGTACTACGAACCGGTAAATGAAAGATATCCCTGTCTCTATCTCTGTCATTCTGCCTTTCAAATAAATAACTTCTTAAAAACATTGTTTTGTTTCCCTCTGGGTAAAGGTTTTATGTGTGTACATAGGAATGAATATTGTATATTTTAAAATATTAAGACTGTCAGATTATCTCACATTTGATAGTCTTTTGAAATAACCAGTTTAGAGAAGACACACTATGATCCTGAAAATCAGGGGAAAGCTAGAATATAAACATTTAAGGATGTAACTTTGGTTGGGTTAAAGCTTCTCTATTGAGATTAGAGTCCCAAGTGTTCAAGGCAAAAAGCAAGAGTAGCAGAACAAAAGGAGGAGTCACAAAACCTGTTGATCATCAGAGACAGCTGTGGCTAGGAGGACCTTTATGAAAAATTGAATACAGTTCCAAACCCCTCCAGTACTTAGGATGATTCATTTATTCATTGACTTTCTTCCCCCAAATTAAATAGGAGGGAAAGTATGTCAGTAGTTGGCAAACTTTTTTTCTCCCTGAAGTTCAGATAGTAACTATTTTAACTTTATAGACTATGTTATTTAAATTGCAACTACTGTTCTTTGACATGTTGGCTCAGAGTAGCCATGTACAATATGTGGGCAAGGGGACATAGCTATGATCCAATAAGATGGTCAGTGGCATTACTTGGCTGTAAGGCTATGGTTTTCTGGCTCCTAGTTTATACTAAATATTGACCTCAGTTAAATTCACAGTGACTTCCTTCAAACAGACAAGCAAGCCAGCCCCTTGGATGGTTTAAATGATCACCCCAGCGTATCAGCCAGGAGGAGCTGAGCTATGGCAGCAGTCTGTCACCTCTAATCTTCAATCATATGCCCCAAGTGTGGTAAAATTCCATTTTTGCAATCACTTTTCATTCTTCCTTGTAAACTTTTATTCTAAATCTTGACCCTTTCCAGTACATTTGTTGAGATATGATTGTGTACTCAGAGCTGGCAGTAGCTGGAGACGGGGATATCCCAGGGCCAGTGGCTAATAATTACAGATATATCATCCTGCTCCACGAGTTGTGTACACATAGATGGTCTGTTTCAGAGAATTCTAAATGAACTAGTGGAAACAATTAAAAATGGAATGTTAATGATACACGTGGAATCAATTAATCAATGTCCTTTAATTTATAGTGTTTGTATATTTTGATTTCTCTCTATAGGCTCATATTTTTATTTGTCACACTTATTTAAAACAAAGCACATAGGCTATTCTCATTATTCATGGATTCTACATATTGCTAACATTTTACCCCAGAATGTAAACTCACTGTATTTTCCTGGCCATTCACAGCTGAGCACAGAGCGGTAAACTCACTGCACTTTCCTGGTCATTAATGGCTGAGCTCAGAGCAGTGAAATATTTGAGTTACTTAGCAAGTACATGCCTAGTGCCCGGTGTTCTGCCTTCTTGCTTTTGCTATTGTTCTTTTGGTAGTCTATTTTGTGTCATTAAAAAAATATGTACATTCTGTTGGTAATTTTACTTAAGGTATTACTCCAGTGCTGTGCTATAGGGCTGTTTAGTGTTCCTAAATACAAGAAGGCTATGGCATGCCTTTTGCTAGATACTGAACTTTGCCATGAGTTCAAGGTTAGTGAATGAACAATATACATTTCGTGAGGTGTATTAAGGCAGAAGGAAACATAAGACAAAGTTATGCATTAAGAATTGATGAGCAAGTCATGGTCAGAGGCTCATAGGAGCCTATGGAGCAGTGGTTCCCATAGAAGTAATGGTTCAGTGTTTGCTAATTCAGCGTTCACAGTGTTGCAAAAGATGACTAGGGTGGATAGCAAGAACCGACTGTGTCTTGTGAAGACAGCAGCCACGGGGCAACGTTCAGAGTGGTATTTCAGGCTGATGATGCCTTTGGCTCCCCTTGTGTTGCCCAGAATCTCTTGTTGCTTTTTTCATCTCCTGGGAAGGAGTGCCTTAGAATCCCATCATTTCTTTTTTTTTTTTTTTTAAGATATATTTACTTTTTATCTAAAAGGCAGTTATACAGAGAAAACAAGATACAGAAAGAAAAGATGTTCCATCTGCTGGTTCACTCCCAAGGAGCTGCAGTGGCCAGAGCAGAGCCAATCTGAAGCAAGCATCCAGGAGGGAGCTTCTTCTAGCTCTCCCACATGGGTGCAGGATTGCAAGGCTTTGGGCTGTCCTCCATTGCTTTCCCAAGCCACTAGTAGGGAGCTGGATGAGAAATGGAGCAGCTGGGACAAGAATAGGTGCCTAAAGGAGATCGCAGCACATGCAAGGTGAGGATTTAGCCACTAGGCTATCACACCGGGCCCAGAATCCCATTATTTCTTCAAGTTCCTTATCTTAGGTGAAGTCTTGTCTTCTCTGTTCCTAGAGAAGTACGCTGTGGATGCTGCTGTGACCACAGACCCTCCCTTCATTGTGTTTCATTGTATTCCATGGTCTCAGGGTTAGGACCGTCATGAGCTAACTTAAGGGGAGTTCAGTAGTGCCACATTTATTTTTTGTATTTCGGTTTTATTGTTTTCCCTGCCTATAAACATGTCATAATTTCTCTAATGCCAATGTTTTCCTGTCTTTCATCACCCCTCTGTTTCTGCTCTCTGTGTGTACTACCAAATTCCTCGAAGAAGTGTTCCTTACTTTCATTTTCTCATTTTCTACTTGTATTTTTCTGCTTTATGCATTATAAATACATAGCCATTTATTAAATGTGAGAATAGATACATTTTAAAATGAATATATTTTAATTTAGTTGAATTTATCTTGGAGTTATAAATATCTTGGTTTGAATCAGTTCTACAAATTTAGATTTCTTAATACAATTACGTGGTTATTTTAAGTATTTGAGAGAGAATGACATCTTATTCAGTAGTTCCCTTTACAAATGCCCACAATGGCAGATAGGAACTAAATCCATGTCTCCTCCCTAGGTGACAAGCACTCAGTAACTTGAGTCATTCCCTACTGACTCCCTGTCTACCTGAGAGGAAGTCTAGAACTGAGAACCAAAGCCCATTATCAACCCCAGGTGTTGTGATGTGGGTCATTATCCTAACAGCTGGGCAGGACTCACGACTGCCTACTCTGCCTAGATTACATTACTTGGTTAGGCTGGTTGAGCTCCTTCTCTCATCATCTTCAAACAAGTGTCATTATCTACAAGAGAGTCTTGACTGTTGAGTAAAATAATATGTGAATACTTGCTTAGTGCGTTTGTTTCCACAGTAATCATGTCACATATATTTAGACAAATGTGTGGTTCACCTAAACGCATACTGTTGCTTTAGTCATTTCAAAGTTTTCTGTTCAAGGAGAGGTTTGAAATTTATGATTTGTAAGATCCTTGCAATTCCAACTCTAGATTTACACCATTTTCATTATCTTAAAGGAAAAATTGAAGCTTCAGAAATTGTCCAATCTCTGGAGACACTAGGTCTGACCATTTCTGAACAACAGGCAGAGTTGATCCTTCAAAGGTAAGCTCTTCTTCCTGGTGGTGGTTTCTGATGTTCATCTTAACAGCCTGCGTTAGAGATCTGCATTTGTAAACTGGTTCTTTTTTTTTCTTTTTACTATTTTATTATTATTATTATTATCATTTTATGAAACACTTCCATAGGCTCCTGATATTTCTCTTATCACAGCCACAATTCCCCCCGCCTAGTTCCTCTATAACATTACTAACACATAGTTCTTCATACTCAGTCATATGTCCAGCATTGCAGGCATGGACAATGACAGAGAGTCCAGCATCCTATTGTCAAGATATAGTAAACAGTTTCATTGTAAGTCCATCTTTGTCTGGAAGCAGAAATGCATACTGCATTGTATCCTCACATCTGGATATGTTAGTCTCCATTTCACAGCTACTATACCTTCCCTTAAGTGAAAACCACAAAGCAAAATCAACATCAGGAAGAAAAAAGAAATTAACAACACCATGAAGTTAAATAACATGCTCCTAAATGACTAACGTGTAGCTGAAGAAATGAAAATCCAGAACTTTCTTGAAGAAAATGATGCTACTGTATGATCTATGAGTCATTGAATGATTTAATCAGAAGAAAGTGTTTTGAAGATGTGAAACAGAAAACATCAAAACCCATGCAATATAATTTCCGCTGATTTTTGTTGGAGTGTATCTCTTCTAGACAACAACTAGATGGGCTTTATTTTTTAATCCAGTCTACTAATCTATAACATTTAATTGAGCTTAAGCAATTTACATTTAGAGTTTAATATGTATGGATAGTGCTTTGGTCCTGTCATTTTAGGAATGGGTTGTTCATTGGTTTAGTCTTCTGTTGTCATTTTACTGGGATGTTCTTCCCATTTGCCTTTGGTTTTGTTGGGTGCTATTCCTCTTCTCTGTCAAGAGAACATCTTTTTTTTTTTTTTTTAAAGATTTATTTTTATTATTTTTTATTGGAAAGGCGGATATACAGAGAGGAGAGACAGAGAGGAAGATCTTCCATCCGATGATTCACTCCCCAAGTGAGCCGCAACGGGCCGATACTATGCCGATCCGAAGCCAGGAGCCTCTTCTGGGTCTCCCACGCGGGTGCAGGGTCCCAAAGCCTTGGGCCGTCCTCAACTGCTTTCCCAGGCCACAGGCAGGGAGCTGGAAGGGAAGCGGGGCTGCCGGGATTAGAACCGGCGCCCATATGGGATCCCGGGCGTGCAAGGCGAGGACTTAACCACTTGCGCCACCGCGCCGGGCCCCTGTCAAGAGAACATCTTGAAGTGTCATTTGTAGGGCAGGTTTGGAAGAGGCAAATTCTTTTAACTTTTCTTGACTGTGGAAGAATTTTATTTCATTTTGAAAGAAAAAAGAAGGCTTTGCTGGATATGTTTTCCTGGGCTGACAATTTTTTTTCTTTTAGAATCTGGAATATGTCACTCCATTTTCTTCTTGCTTGTAGAGTTTCCTGTGAGAGATCTCCTGTGAGTTTAATTGGCATTCCTTTATATGTCAATTGATTTTTTTCATGTGCACATTAAGGATCTTTTCCTTATGTTCGATTGAAGAGAGCTTGATGACCATGTGTCTTGGTGAAGATTGCATTTGATCAGGCCTGTTGGGAGTTGTGTGCCCCTCTTGGATGTTGTTTCCCAATTCTTTCTCTAGATTAGAGCAATTTTCCTTGATTATTTCATTAAGTATATTTGTAAAACCAGTTTCTCTTTCTGTACCTTCTGGGACTCCCATAACTCTTGTGTTAGGCCTCTTAATAGTGTCTTTCACTTCTTGAATACTTTTTGGCCTGATCCAGCTCTGCTTCCAGCTTTTTGTTTGCTTCCCCCTGATGACAGGAAATATCTTCCAATTCTGAGATTCTTTCTTCTGCTTGCTTCATTCTATTTTGGAGACTCTCCATTGTACTTTTAATTTGCCCTACTGTGTTCTTAATTTTTGACATAGCAGCCTTGATTTGCTTTATTGCTGCTATTGCTTATGTAAAATATTCCTTAAATTCTTTGAACTCTTGTATGTGCTTCTCATCATTGATCAGAAGCTTTAAAATGAGTTTTCTGAATTCTGTGTGCCCCATTTTCTCGATGTCTTCCTCAGCTAACTCTGAGGTTGGCATAAGGTTTTGCTCCTTCGCAGGGGAGTTTTCAGTAATATTCGTTGTGCCTTTGTCTCTTCTTTTGCTCTTGGTCATTGTACTTCTGGTTAGCAGAGTCTTCTCCTTGGGGCAGGTTTCTAAGTTGTGTCACCCATAGGTCTGCAGTTCGATTTTACTTATTGCAGTAGGTACACACTTTTTGCTTGCAGCCAATTGTGCCACTCCCTCCAGCAAGTTCCAGGTCTGGGTTCTTATGTTAGATTTCCACAAAGAACTCTATAGCCCCAACTGCTGGCTCACCACTCTCTACCTCCTGTGATACTGTGCTGAGGCTGCACTGTTGTCTCTGCAAACTTTCTCCCACTTCTGGTTGGAGTAGGTCCCAGGATTAGAGAGACAACAGGTGTCCTGTATAGCTAGGTTGTTGGTGGTGCTGATGTTGCTGGAACCTGTTGGATGTTAGGTCTGGGTGCCACACGGACCTATTTTGACCTTTACGATGCCACAGTTGGTGTTATTTTCCTGCGGGACCAGTGCAGTTCACGGAACTCAGTGAGTTCTTGCGAGCTCAGCACATGCGCACTTCACTGTTGTCCCCTGCAGTCTTAAAGCTTTGGCCACAGTGTACAAAATGGCACCTGATGTGGCACTAGTAGAGTTCTTGATCTGGTGGCCATCAGGTCTGAGGACTCCCCAGACTTGTCTTGGGTGGAACCTGTAGAATGCCACGTAGATGCTGTTCACTGAGTCAGAAATGAGTTCACTCCCAGCTCAGTGTATGCTCAGTCCTTTCCCTTGTCTTTGCTTCCTTATGCAAAATGGTGCCCAATTCAGCACTAGGGGGCTGACCAGGCTGTGAAATCCACCGTGTTCTCGCATTGCTCATCTGGGATCTGCTGCTCTGTCTCTGCTCCTGATCAAATCAAATGGACCAGCAGGACGGACAGTTCTTTGTCTGCGTTCAGCTCCCAAGCTCCCAGTGAAAGTCCCTTCCCACCTGGTTGCTGGTGGAGTTCTGGCTGCTGGTGGAGTTCAGATTACCTGTTAGCTGAATGCTGCTGGAGTATCAGTCACTGCAACACCACACCATTGTTTTCACTGCTTTCCTGTGTCTGTCAGTCTCCAGGTACCCCTTTGCTGCTGTTCTGTCCTCTCTTAAGTCCTAGAATGTGTCCTCTCTGCCTCATCGTGATTAAATGTTTCTCCATTTTAATGTGTCCTTACCCTATCCCGCCATCTCGATTCTCCATTGTAAACTGTTTCTTAAACACCTCAGTACTATGTACCATTTTTCATTTTGCTCCTCCACTGCCTTTCCTTTTTTTCCTCTCTTTATTTTCTATGCGCACAGATATCTAAAATGTTAGTAGACAAACGTGAGCTCAGGCTGCTGGACTCTTTTTGTAAGGCCACAGAAAAGAGTGGTTTGGCAGGAAGTGTTAAGTGTAATGCAGAGATCAGAGTTCTGCTATAACTTTCCCCGTTTTCCCATCAAGCTTCTAAAGTGATAGGAGAATTCATTCTTTCATGTTCAGGAATCCTATGGATTTAACATGTGGTTGAACCTGCTTTTACTGCACTAGTAAAAGCCAGGGCTGTCCTAGCCCAGTATGTCCAGTATGAACTTGCAGAACACAGGCCACTGTGTCCTTTTTTGTCTGAGACCTTTACAGACTTCATGTTTTATTTCAAAGGATAGCAAGCTATCCAATGCAGGTGTTTTCAGAACTCTCCTCTTTAAAAAAATAAAATTATATATATATATAATTATATATATTATAATATATATAATATATATAATGTATATATATACATTATAATATACATTATATATATATTATATATATATGTATATATATAATGTATATATTCACAAGGCAGACTGACAGAGAGATGTACTTGCTTACTTCCCAACTGGCCTCAATGGCTGCAGCTGAACCATGCTAAAGCCAAGGGCCAGGGATTCCTCTAGGTTCAACCACATGGGTGTCAGGGGCCCAAGCACTTGATCCTCTTTCAGTGCTTTCTCAGGTACATAGGCAGGGGGTTGGATCAGAAGCAGAGCTGCCCACATTCCAAGTGGCAATTTTCATATGGTTGCTGGCACTGCAAGTGGTGGCTTAATATCCTGTATAACAGTGATCCCATTTCTGTTTTGAGCAAACTTAGGGAGCTTTTTTTTGTGGGTTTTTTTTATGGTTTTATTTATTTATTTATTTTTTGGTTAATAGAAACAAGAAGGAATGATTGCATTATGCTAATGTTCTTGTGATTGTTAACAGTTTCTACATTATCTAAAAATATTTCTTCAATATGACTTCATTTTCAAATTTGTCTTCTTTTATATCTGTATTCATGGCATTTCCCTGATTCTGTGTTCAGATTTTCTTTTATAAGAGGATGCTCAGTAGGAAATCTTGAAGTCTCAAAGCTGAGTGTACAGCTGCTTTTGTTAGCACTGGGTGAACAAGGCTCTCCAAAGAAAATGAAAAACTGAAACATGAAAAGGAGATAAATTTTGACCTTTGGACATGGAAGCATAGGGCATTCTGTTTCCAACATCAAATTCTTCCAGGACGATAAGGTTTTAATTTGCTCAGGCTCTTAGACCGGAGTCATAGTCGTGACTTCCATTTGATAGCTTTAGGAATAATGCAGATTCCGAGCTCTGGCTCCAGAATAGGTGAAAATGTATCCTTCAGCTTGGAATGCCGTAACAAAACAACCTGTCTGGGTGTCTTCAACAGCAGCAATTAGTGATGGGAAGTTGAAGATCAAAATGCCAGGATAATTGGATTTCAGTGAAGGTTGTCTTTTTGGTTTGCAGATGGCAACTTTTTACTGTTTCTGAGAAGGGGAGAAGGAAGAGAGCCAGAGGGGGAGGGAGAGGAAGAGGGGAGGAGGAA